GTGACACTTAGTTATGTACTTGTAAATTACCAAATTTATACTTGGCTGAAATTCATTTTTTTGTGCTTTGTAAATATTTAGGGTATTCACAGTGTATGATAAAAGCTAATTACATATGTATGTAACTATTTTCTATAAGTTTAAAATATTTCGGCGTGGTTAAAAATTCCCTAAAACCATTTTAAACGTTATTTTTCGTTGACAAAGACTTTAAGACATTACGACGCTTAACACGTCTGGTGAATGCCCTAATTGTAATTGTATACATAAGTATTTTCTTGCCATAGTTGTTACTGTGGTTTTTGTCTTTCAATTAGTTAAGTTGATACCTAAAAGAACAAAGTGTCATTGGAACCCATCGGTTAGCTGATTATTTCTTCATATGGTTTTCAAAAACACTAATGAGCCCAAATAAATTGATTAGTATCCTGTGACAATTTACGCAATATAATTACATTCATACCAGTGATGGGCAAAATTAAAAATTTGTGTATTTAAATCACCTGTTTGGATACTTAATACTCATATATATACTTAATATTTAGAGATGAACAAAAAAGTAAAGTAAAAATATTTGCCTATTCAGATGTTGCTAAATACTAAAGTAAATGTAAACGAAATATTTGGGAGATGAAAAATGCTAAATAATTGAGGTTGCTAAATACTGAAGTACTAAAGGATTTATTAGACTTCAGGAAAAGAGACGGTTATCGATAATTTTTGTTGTTTTTTTTCGAAATTTAAAAAATAATGAAAATGAAACTTTCAAATTTTGTTTTTCGTTTTTTTGTAAGTTTTCTTTTGCGATTTTTCGTGTTTTCCTTTTCAGAATTAGTTTAGTAACTTAAGGGATTTTTTAAAATAACTCTTAAATACCAAAATGTTTAACTTTCGGTCAAGAATAATGGCTAACTTTTGAATTTTATTTTTCTCGGTCAAATTTTATAGTTTGTTGTGATTTTTAGTTTTTTCGATCAAAAATTATTGTTATTTTTAATTTTTTCTAAAATTTTAACCGCTTTGATGTAGACTGCGTTCCTATGTCAGTTTTAAATCTTTTGTGATCTAAAAAATTAAATATGAAAACAACGATTTTTTTATCTAAATTAAACATCACAAAATAACGATTATCCTTGATCGAAAAAACTAAAAATAAAACTTAACGAAAAAATAAAAATCATATATAAAAATAACGGTTAAATTTGATCAGAAAACTAGAAATCCAATTTTAACAGTTAAATTATTGTTTTATTATAAAGCTCATAACAATAACGGTCGCTGGTACTTTTCTTACTATTTCCAGCTTTTGGAAGCTTTTCGGTATTTTTTGCGACTTTACTTAACTTTGTCATTATTTATCGGGATTCTTCGTGGTATATTTTTCGGTGTTTTCGGGATTCGTCCTGATTTTTGGAATTGCGGAATTATCGCGAGACTTGCAGTACTATTTCGGCACCGTTATTTTTATTTTTTTTTTTCAGAATTGTTCGTGTTAGATTTTTCAGGATTTTGCAGTATTTTTAGCATCCTTTGTTTTAGATTTTTCGGGATCTTTCGGTATTTCCGAATTATTTCGCGGTTTCCAGTACTATTTTCGGTATTCTCCGCGTTTTTCTGTATCTCTCGAAATTTTTTTGTGATTATTCCTGATTTTCGGAATTGCGGAGTTATTTCGAAATTTTCAGTGCTATTGCAGAACTGTCCTTTATTTTTACAGAGTTGCTCGAATTATGTTTTTCGGTTCTTTTCGGGATTTCGGCCTTTTCAGTACAATTTCGGGGTACACAACAAATTTCGGAAACACAAAAAACCAAAAAAAAGACAATTTCGGGGGTTTTCTGGGATTTTTCTTTATTTTCTCTCTTGGATTTTTTTGGTATTCTTTGTTCTATATATTTCGGTACCTTTCGGTATTTTTCCGGGATTTTTCGATATTGTGGGATTTTCAGTACTATTTTGGCCCCTTTTTAAGTTTATCAGCATCCTTCGTGTTATATATATTTGGCATCTTTGGGATTTCGTAATTATTTTGTGATTTTCAGTACTATTTCGATTTTTTTCCAGACTTTTCTTTATTTTCGGTTTTTTTTACGGGATTCCTTGGGTTATATTTTCCAGGTCTCTTCGTGTTTTTTCAAGATAATTTTGTGTCAAACTCTAAACCTCGATATTCGGTCGTAGATCCCTGAATCGCACGGTGAAAAATCCAATATATAGTGAAGCTGTAAATACTAAGTACTTTTGTAGGTGATATTTTTTTAGGTATAAGTCACTTAATACTATTCTATATTTAGTCCTGGAAAAATATGTAAATGCATTTAAACACATACTTACTCAAAGTATTTATCACACTTTAGAATGTAAGTATGTATGTATGTATTATCATACATGGTACTTGGTGATTATTTACTACAACATAAATACATAAATACTTTTGTACTTACTATATAGTCACATACAATTTTGTACATAACTGATATGTGCAAATGTATGTTCATATATTGTGCCATTTAACATCGATAAATTTTAGTTTTACGCAATAGTTTTAACAACATACGTACTGTGGTTTAGATATCTGTAGTTTTGTGTTGAAATTTTAATGTATACTTATATACTATATATGCACACATTTATATCTATATTTCATGACTAATTGATAATTAATTGCCTTTAGTGAATAATTTTTAGTCTTTTTAATAGTACATATGTATGTAACTCATGAGTTGAGCAAGATAAAGATTCCAACCATCAAAAAATTTTTACATTGCCAGCCAATTTTCTTTTAATTATTATAATGCGAATTTCCACTAGGCATTGAGATGGCCAAAAATGTATACAATTTAAAAAATACCATGTGCAAACAAACTTAATGATATTTTTTAATGCTCAAGTTTGTCAATAAAATTGTTGTCATTTAATGCCGTCGTATGCAGGCATAAGTCATATTTTTCTCTGTGTATCAGAGTTAGTGCATTGGATAATTGTTTGTTACTTTTATGCTTTGTTTTTGTTTTTTTGGTTTTCATGGACTGTCACTCAACTACCAATGGTTAAATAATGCGGCATTATTGCGGTTTATTGCAGCCATAAAGTCATAATCTATGTAAATAATGAACACTGCCACCGGTGTTTAATTTAGATTATTTTATTTTATTTTTCGGTTAGATTTAGTTTGTTTATCTATTGACTTTCTTTGAGCGATGTATTTTGCCGACCCGACGCACAGTGGTGCAATACTGGAATTTAATGTTCATAATTCACTGGAGCTTTCATTTTTCAAACAATTTGATTAATATGTATTTTTTTTTTAAGTGAAAGCTTATTTGCAATTTTGAAGAAAATCGATTCTTCAGTTCTAGTTAATAAATGCTCATAATAAAACGTAGTTGAAAACAATTGTAGAGTTTCCCTTAAATGAAAAAAAATCACAAGAAAGATTTGAAATATTAAAAAAAATATCACAAAATCAAACATGTTTTTTAGGTCTTAGAAAAATTGGGTATGCAGTTTTATAGACCGTTAAATTTCAGTATAAAAAAGTGCAAGTTGCAATTGTGTACTATTAAAAATTAACGCGAACTCTTAGCCACTTGAAACTTGCACTTCATTGTACTAAAATTTCATGATCTATAAAACTGCATACTTAAAATTTTTCTAGGAACTAAAATAATTTTAAGTTTGAGGATTTTTTTCTGACATTTCAAATATTTTTTGAATTTTTTTTTCGATTTGGCGAACCCTACAATTATTGTCAACTAGGTTTTATTATGTAACAATTATTAACTGAATTATTATCTGGATCAGGAGAAAATTCCCACTTTTTCTGCACTTTGCTCTAAAAAGTGTAAGCAAAAAACAAAACCGACTTCAATTCTCATATAAAAATTTAAGATTACCGTTAATTTCTTCACGATCCAATCATCGGATCTAAACACTCTGGAGGTACCACCTTTCCGATGAGAAAAGAATTATCCAAATCGGTTAACGTGGTCCAAAGTTATGCGGTAACATACATAAAAAGAAAAAATAAATAAATTGTCCGACGAACTGATAACCTTTTCCTTTTTGTAAAGTCGGTTAAAAATAGAGCTGAACTGGTCTCGCGCAAATTTCATTATCTTTCATTTAATAAGCAATTAATTAAATTCCAGTTTTGAACCCCTGTGCGACGGGCGGGTACATTGGCTTCTGTGGTGAGAATGATTGTGCCCTTTGACTTTGAATTCTCAGACAAAAATTACGCTTGGCTAAAATTACACCCTCAGTAGTTAATTAAATATAGCTTTTATTGCGTCTATGCCGATATGCCGCATATGTTTCACCAACGCATATTAACTCACGATATGTAGGTAATTTTCGATACTATCTACTTGTATTAAAAAGGTTCAAACTTGAATTGTGAAAAATTAAAATTTTGAGTTAGCACACTTTTAACAACATACATACCTTAATATGTATAGAGAAGCCTTATCTAACATTTTTGTTTCTCTATAGAGTTGTTCCATCATAGAAAATCGACCAGCAGCAATACTTGCTACCATGGGCGTAGCCAGGTAGGCGCAGGGAGAGCTGGAGCCCCCTGAATTCCAAATTTTCTCTCTATATATAAAAAATAGTACCCTAAAATGCTAGCTTAATAGATTCAAAAAAATCTCCTTCATGATCTGTTAAGGTAGTTGCATCTATAGTACATTCCATTTGTTGTGAACCCTTTCCTTCTAAATTTTTTTAGGTGCAAAATTGGAACTTTGAGTTTGAAGACAAATATTTTTAAAAGTTCAATCGCCCAAGGCGTTTATCTTACGGCGACTAATTTAGGTTCCAGCAACGGGTTACAATTTTGTTGCCCTATGGCTGCCACGTGAAGGAAAGGGTTAATTTACTTACCTATGTACCTACTTTTTCTTACCGCATAAATCAAAACAAACTCTCTTTTGCAACAAAATCAGTCTTTATGAACCAATAAAATATAAAATGAACGAGTAACTAAACAAATAATAGACAGTATAGCATAATTAATAATATTTATTGTTAGCAGATTTTTCCCCAACTTAATTAATTAAATTGATACGTATCCATGCAGGTGCAATTGGGGAGTGTACAACGAGGCGCTAAATTCGATAGATGTCCCATTGTAACGGGGAAGGAGAGCGGCACAAACCATTTGGGATAAGCGCAGATAGCTGGAGTGCCAGCACTCGTAGCTGTACTGCCAGTGGCATTAATAAGGGCAGATTTATGAGCGTACTGTGAATGAATGATAAGCAGATGGATAACCATTTCGTTACTGGAAGTCAGTCATTTGCTTACCAGCTCAGCAGTGACGGGCTTAAAAGCGCTTCGAATAGGCGCAACAGTTGTTGATGATGTCGCTGCCGCATGACTGAGCATAGTTGTTGAGGCAGCCTTGGACGCTTCATTGGATGCGCTACTGACTGCGGGCGTAACACTCTCTATGGCGCGCACTAAGTCCAAATCACAGCGCTTCAATATCAATTCCAACACAGAACGTTTGCGATGCGGAAAGAGTTGTGCCAACATATCTATAGCGCTCTGTGAGATTACAGGTGGCGTGGGTGTGGTGGATGAGATTTTTGAAGTGCCTGATGTGAAATGCAATACAATTTCTGTTTTTATAATAACTCTAACAATTACTAGAATAAATATATATGTATCTTTTATTATAAGCCATAGTAACACTTTAACCTTCCAATTCCAAAGTAGTTTTACGTCAAAAACTAACAGGGCAATCATGGCAACTGTCTTTCAACTCACCACAGACTTTTGAAGAGCCTTTCGTAAGACAACTGTCAATTCTGGCAACTATCTTGACGGTTGTTTTCTGTCTTTAAAAAGCTAATTGGAAGATTTCTTAACGAGAAGGACTTAAAGATATTCTGTTTGTCTTTTAGAAATCATTTTTCTAAAACCACCGATTAAATAAAAAAACATATGTATATGTATATTTTTCTTTAAAAAAAATAAAAGATGAAAATTAAAGGAAAATAAATTTAAAGAACTAAAAAACATTTTTAAAATTAACTTAAAAAAAAATAATTAAAAGAGACAAACTAAATAAAAAAATTTATAAGTGTTAAATATAACAAATCTTTTTCTTTTAAAACCAATAAAATCTAAAAATTTAATTAGTAAGGAAAAAAACATCACACTAGATAACTTCCTAAAAATTAAATGAAACTACAAAAAAATATATATATTTTTCTTTTTAAAACAATCAAATCTAAAAACTAGAACGAAACTAAATTATGAGAAAGAAAAAACAAATAAATTTGAAATGAAAAGAGCAAGTTTCTAAAAATTAAATAGACTAAAATATTTTTTTAAAACGAAAAATTCTAAAACTAAAACAAATTAAATTTAAAAAGGAAAAGCTGAAAAAAAAGTTCATAAATATTAAATTAAATTTAAATAATATTTTTTTTATAACAAAAAAATCAAAAAGTTAAATTAAAAAAAGAACGAAACGCAACAAATAAAATAAGTTTCTAAAAATTAACTAAGATTAAAAGAATATTTTTCCATTTAAAACAATAAAATTCAGAATGAAAAAATACATAAAAAGTTTCCAAAAACTTAAGTGAATTAAAAAAATTATATAACTTTATTTTTTCGAAACAAAGATTGAATTAAAAAAAAATAAAATAAATAAATAAATTTAATAAAGAATTCGAACCTTGGATTTCTCAATGGGCACGCCAGGTGCTTAGCCCACTCGCCATTGCGATTGTTGGAGCAGCGCGAGCAAAATGATGTATATACCAGACATCTGCAGCGGGTGCATGATTTTCGTGTATACTCGATCATCTAACAAAACCCGTTTTGCATCGTTCTCTGTATACGAGCAGAAGTACTGTTCGTTATCGACTGAGCTCAAGACGAACATGTTGGCCACAACACCCGATTGCTTTTCATACATACTTGATTGGGTTCGGGTGCTTTGCAGCTCAATATACCCGGGTGTTCGAGTTTCAACCCGAGTGTGCACAAAATTTTCTTGATTGGCTTATGACGTTTTTGTTTATACAAAAAATGTTGCCTTCTCATCGCGGTGTTCTTAGTTTTTGTGCGTAGAGGGTAAAGAGAAGGTTGAATTTTTCGGTAGTTTGTTTAAGTGTACATTTAACCATTTCTTATATTTTTGCTCATACAAAATGCGGCATCACGACGCCTACATCCATTTAGGTATAAATGTGTGTAGATCGGCAATGCCCAAGCCCTATACACTCGGTGCACATTTATTTTTTGTAAAAGTACTTATGTACCTACATAGTTTTAGGCTGTGTTCTAATATATACACACACAGCTTTCCACGCGAAACTATACGAAATAGATGCAAAAACATGTTTGTCTACTTCGCTTCTAATTTTTTCATTGCGTATGCACAAGCACAAAGCAACAACATTTTCGTATGCTTTGTGGGAACATATTGGCGCCAGTTACCTTCAGCGTAAATTTCTTTATTGTCCTGCATTTTATCGCAATGTTCGGGTGTCCGTTTCATTGTTACACAAATTTTCGGGTTAGCTGCGGGTGTCCGAGTGTGGTGTTCGCTTGTGCTCAATTTATAGCGAGGGTGATCGAACAGACTCTTTCGTAACCAAAGCAGCTGTCGGGTATGCATCTCGATCGAACACATAGTAGCCGAGTGTGGCGTTCGCTTGTGCTTGATTTTTAGTGAGTGTGATCAAAAAGGCTCGATCATACTCAAAGCTGTTCTCTGGTATATACATACATATTAGGGATGTTTCGAATGTCATATTTTGCACATTCGCGAATGCCATTTCAACAATATTAGAATGGACTCTCTGCCCATGTACACATTCGCATTCGCAAAACATTCGTATCATTTGATGCGAATGCGAATATGTAAAATGATGATATCAATTAACTTAAAAAAGGCTTGCAACTATCTTAGCCAGAATTGCGCTGTTAAATTACTTCACTTCACTCACTTTTTGCCTCCTCACTCAAACTGCTGAACGCGGCAGTACTAAGATCCTCAGCCATGTGTTGTATTTGATGTTGTGGATTTTGTCGCTGCAGCGGCTCTTGCCTTTCCATTCCCTCACTCTCAACTTCTGCGCCAGTGTCTAAAGAACTTTGGGACAATCCAAAGATTTGTCCCTCCGGCAATGTATCGATTTGTTTACCAGTCTTGGTGGTCATCAATCGCAGTGCAATGGCATTCTCCACCGCCTGTTGACGCTTTAGGGCAACCTGAAAATGTATAAAAATCACACAAAACTTTTACGAATACAAACAAATGGCTTAGTGAATAAAAATTATGTGTAAACATTGCCGAAAATATATATGTATACATACATGCGTACATATGTATACACATACTCGCGTTAGTTAATACATTCATACGAATGCATTTATACATACATACATACGCATATCTATAGCGGTAGATTATCTTCTATTCGGTGTAAATTGAAATTAATATGCGACACAACCGCTACTTCATGCTGGATACTACCCCACCACCTACTCAACTTTTTCTCTTCTAAGTATGTATGTATGTATGCGCTCATATTTACTTTAGTCTATTAACTTTTGTGCATTTTTATTGACTTTCGCGTCTCGTATTTCATTTGTTTTCACAATCTGGTTATGTCTTTCCACCCATATAAATGTGAAGTATATTAGAGGGGAGCGTCATATGTTTTTAAAATGTTTTAGAATGAATGTGCACTAACTACAACGTTGCTTTGGAATACGTAGTCTTAACCGACTTCAAAAAAGGATAAGGTTATCAATTCGTCGGAATATTTTTTATATATTTTTATGTATGTATATAACTTTGGACCACGTTAAGCGATTTCTATAATTTTTCAGAGGTGGTCCCATACTAATTTAGTTGAGATCCGGTCAACTGATCATGAAGAAATTGACGGTGCTCTTAAATTTGTATATGAGAATTAAAGGTTTTGTTTTTACTTAAAATTACTTGTTTAATATATTTTTTTTAATATTTAGATTTTATTGTTTTAAAAGTAAAAATATATCTCATTTAATTTTTCAGAACTTATTTAATTATGTACCATGTATTTTTTTGGATATATTTTTTTCTTTCATTAATTAAATTTTTGATTTTATTGTTCAAAAATGCAAAATTCTATTTACATCCATTTAATTTTTAGAAATTTATTTAATTTTTTAATTTAATTGTTTTTTAATTCTTAGATTTTATTGTTTTAACAAGCAAATACGTAGCTATAATTTCATTTAATTTCTTAAACTTATTTTATTTTTATTTATATATTTAGATTTTTTGTATGAATTTTATTTTTTGGATAATTTTTTTTCTTTTGTTGATTTACTTTTTGATGTTATTGTTAAAAAAAAAATATATATTTTTAAAATTTCATTTAATTTTTAGAAATGTATTTTGTTTTTTTTTTTTTAATTTTTTTTTATTAAATTTTCTTCAATATTTTTAGATTTTATTGTTTTAACAATAAAAATATGTGACTATTATTTAATTTGTATAAACTTATTTAATTTTTATTTCCATTTTCTAAATAAATTTTCTTTCTTTCTTTATTTAAATTATTCTTTTTTTTTAGATTTAATTTATTTTTAAAGAAAAATATTCTTTTAATTTCATTTGATTTTTAGAAACTTATTTTATTTGTATTTAAATTTCTTGTTTTCTCTCTCTTCTTGACTCTCCTCCCTAATATTCATGCACATATACCCACAAAAGGAGATTGGAAGGGCGTAAATATTGCTCTACAATAAAAATGTGTTTAACATCAAATTCTTCAAATAGCAGTGAGCTCACACTCTACTACAATTTCCTTTGTCATAACATATGTATGTTTGCATGTATTTGTTGTAGTTTTAGCAAATAAATGTGGTTAAGAAATCTCGCCGCTTTCGTCTTTTGGGAATTACCAAATCAACATTGTATACATACATACATCGGCAGCTCTTTGTAACTGAACTCACAGAAGTTTGTAACTTGACTAGCCTACGGTGGATTGATTACTAAATGCATACATACATACATACATATTATGTACATACGAAGCTCGCGAATATATTCTCACTATTGTTGATGCGAACACTTGTGCAAACATGGAAACGGATATGTTGCCCGATTAGCTGGCTGACAATTTGATTTTGCTTCTTACGACACCCACCTCTTTGGGGCACCCACCCTCGGTGCGGTTGCTTTGGTTTGATTTAATACGATTTATTTTAATCGAGCAGTGTAACTGTTCAGGAAACAATTGTCAGATAACATAATGGATTATTGCACATTTAATAATGAATATTATTTATTAGTGGAAAATTTAGGTTTATTGGCATTGGGGGAGATGAGCGTGAAGAGGCATGTTTTTTTCGAAATCAAAACAGATATCGCATTTTGTGAGTGCGTAGAGCTTGAAATGCCCAGATAATTAAAATATGGGTTGAAATTTTTTTCCATACGCCATTGCGCCGCGGTTTCTCAGTTTCGTATCCAGGCGAAAGTAATAGCAAGACTAGTATTTCGCCACTAAACACGGCTTCAGACAAGGCCGGACAAGCCTATCGTGCGACTTTAAGTTGATGCTGAGAAATGCAAGAGCAACGGGTTCACTAAGAAGCTGCTCTACAGAAGTGCTTAATGCTATACTCAACCTATCGATATTCACCTAAAAGAAATGGCTATGAAATCGGCAAGGGTAGAGAGTTAGTCTAAGCACACAGATCTTCCAAGTCTAAGCACACGATCAATCCAATGTCGACGAACACTATACTTAAGTATTAATCACGTCGTTCACTGCCTGAGCTGATAAGATTACCAACGTATCCTCCTTTAGTGTACTCGTCCATATGAGGACACCTTCGAACATTATAGGACTAACTATGCTGTGGTAGAGCTAGAAAATATTAAAACTTAGGTGAGTGATCTCATCTGTATCGGTGAGCGACCCTGCTGCCACATAAGAAAAGATCTCAAACGACCATTGCTTTTCTAAGGCATCTCTATACATATTTATGTCATCAAAATTACTCTTCGCTTAATTTCGCTGGCCGATTACAGAATCAAGAAAAAACTCTTCGTGTGTTCTATAGCAATCTCTTTTGCCTCTTTAGCAATCTGAAGAGATCCGGCATGACATAGCCTGTGTTTTATACACTCACGGCAAAAACTATTGACAGAGAGAGTTTTTCACAATAGATGCTGTAATTTTTATATTTTATATTTTATAATATAAAAAAGGAGAATTTTCAGCTTTTTAGAATTTTTTGGGTATGCAGTTTTGTAGCCCATTGAATTGTAAGGTGTAAATTTGAAATAGATTTTTGGACATTTTTTTACTCATTTTCTTCAATACAAAAAAAAAAAAAAAATCGAAAAATCTTTGTATGGAAATTATGCGAAACACCTTCAACAAAAAAAAATCCTAAAAATTTTAAAAATTTTAACAGCTTCAAACTTGTATACTCAAAAAAAATCTTAAAAATCTGCTTAAATATTTGCACGAAAATTGATTAAATTTTTCTGAGTTTTGCACAAAGTTTATTATATTTTTATGTTTTTCGCTGCAGTATGAACGATATTTTTATAAAAACTTTGCGGAAAAAAAATTTAATTAAATTTAAAAACTAAAATTTTGTTTGCATATATTATAAAAAATTCGCTGTGCCAATACTTTGTGTAAACACATTCACTAAAAAAATTTACAAACTTCGTTTTTCGTGGAGTAAAATTCATATTTATAGGGTGGTATAAGAATTATCACCTTCAATTTGAAATTTTAACTTTATTAAAGCTTTAAAAATTGTGTTCAAGGTTGCTGATCTTAAAGTAAAAAAAAATGAAAACTTAAAAAAAGCAATATATTCGCGAAACCACTGCCTTTTTGTTTTCTCTTTAACGACAGGATTTTTTTAAAAGGACTGAAATTTTAAAAATGTGTTAATTTATTTTAAAAATCCAGTGCAATTTAGAAAAACAGTATGGGTATCAAATTAAAGACAAAATTCCGTAGAAAAAAAACTGATTAAATTCTTTGGGTACGCATGGACGAGTAGGTATTGAAAATGTCCTTTTAAAATTGTATCCTAGAATATCCTCGAAATTTCGCAATATTTATTTTTGAAAAAAATAGACTTTAAGGACTAATATAAAGTCGACAACATCCACGAATTTCGACCTTCTAACTTTATAAGCTTAAAAAATAAAATTAATTAAAAAGGTATTTTCAATCCTAGTCATCCTAGTGAACAAAAAAATTTTAATTTTTTTTTTAATTCTATGGAATTTTCTTATTTTACATTGCACTGATTTTTTTTTTAATAATTTTTGGAAGTAATAATTTAATTGAAATTATAAAGTTCTTTAAAAGTATCCTGACTTCAGAGAGAAAAACCAAAAACGCAGTATTACTATGGGCCAAACCCTTTTTTTTTTTTGAAGGACTTTAAAATTTTAAAAATGTAATTACTTCAAAAAATTATTAAAAAATTTCAGTGCAATGTTGAAAAACAATCAAATTGAAGAAAAAGCTCTGTAGAATAAGGTCCGATTAAATTTTCTTGGTACTTAAGAACGATTAGGTATTGAAAATGTCGTTTTCTCACTTTATCATTGAGTATCCTTGAAATTTTGCAATAATTATTTTCGAAAAAATGGTTGGTTAACGACTATTATGCACTCGACCACATCCTCAAATTTCGAGCTTTTAACTTTATTCGCTTAAAAAAATACAACTAATTAAAAGGACATCCTTGTCCTTGTGAACCAAACAATTTAATTTTTTTTTTTAGTTCTACAGAATTTTGTCTTGCCCATACTGCTTTTCTACATTGGAATGAATTTTAAAAATTTTTTTTTGAAATTAATCACATCTTTGACACTAATTACAAAGTCCCTAAAAAATATCCTGGCGTCAGAGAGAAAAACTAAAAACGCAGTTTTACTATATTTGGCCCACAGTTTCGTGAGTACATTGATTGCTTCATGTGTTTCGAAATTGTTTTGTTTTTGTCGCGCGGTGTTATCGAATATCTCTACACCGGTATTTATTTCGATATTTCGATTCAGACCAATCATTGTCCTTTCCAACTCTTGTTATGCCTACCTGTGCCGCCATAATACGCTGTCGCTCGAAGATTAGCACACACTTGGCGCACTTGCAGCCTTTGTAGGTGCACAGTTTCTTATGGCCACGCAATTCGGAGATGATGCCATGATTGCGGCAACGCGCACATTTTGGCACACGATTAGCGCCTTTCGACTGCACCGGCACAGCGCTGAATTTAAAGGATTTATTCGTAACGCCAACGCGCGCTCGCTTTGTAGCCACCATTGGTGTAGTGTCATTTTTGTCTGTCATATTTTTTTTTCCTAAAACCAAAAACCTAAAACTTCCGGCGAATTTTGTTGCGCGTTTAATATTCAATGGCTTTCAAAATGAAACTAATCCTGCTGGTAAGACTTCGTGATATATCCTTTGCGTTTGAAGTGGAGCTCATCATCAATTTGGATTGGCAACATTTTCGCCTTTGCTGTTGCTAATAAATTCAAAAGTTGCATTGCGCAAACGTTAAGTTACATTTGCACAAATTGAATGAAAGTCGCTTTATACCCGGAAACGCCTTAAAGGATACACCAAAGTGCTTTTGTATTGTTACGCTCGCCATTTGTTGTTAATATCCTTTTTCGGTGTGTGCTGTGTATTATTCCACTTGAAAATCTATGGCCACACCCCTTTGTGGTGATTGGTGCGTTGGTGATGTGCCATCACCGCTAATCTGCGCGCATAATCTTTCGCAGCAGTAAAGTAGCTAAGTACGTACAGTGATGTGTAAAGCCTCGGCAATACATGAGAGTAGAACTTTTGGGTTTTTTTTTATTGAATATGAAACCTCGATATTTCACATTTAAAATGTTAGTAGGATATACTACTATATTATATATATATGGGTCATTCCATACAATATTTACCTCAATACTTTTTTTTTGGGTAGAATTATTATTTTTTAACATTCTTTATCCAAAAAAAGAAGACAAAATTTTTTTTTATTTTGTCATGATATTCGAAAAAAATCTATCTCACACTCTCATGGAAAGTCGAGGTAATTACGCACATTTTGATACCTTAACTCATTATATCCGACAAATAGTTTATTAACTGGAAACAATTGAAAAAAGCTACTGCTCCGGGAGTTTAATATTTCGGGATTTTTTTTTGAGATTTTCGAAAATCATGACGAAATAAAAAATTGGTGCCTTCTTTTTTTCGATAAAGAATTTAAAAAAATATATTTCACCCCAAAATAAAATATTGAGGTTCCTATAAATATTGTATGGAATGGAATCGCAAAGCCTTGGCATTCACCTACATATGTATACTTTTTCCTCTATCTTCTAGCTGGCAGTTGCGACAATTTCTGTTACAGTGTTGTCCTATTCTTATTGAGAATTTAGCCAGTGGCCTGGACCCCGTGATGGTTTCTACAATTCTGAATACTTCTGTCCTGGATCCATTAAGTAGATTCCATGCCAGCGTTCTCTTTATATCTCACAAGTTCAAGGAAATGCAAAGCAATTTCCTCGCAGATTCATCCAAACAGAATTGAATAAATTGTAATAGAAATAAAACAAATTGTAATAGTAAGGAAAGAAATTTTAAAAGATAAGAGCACATGCCAAAAAAAAACAGGTGACCTCAGCTGTAGGCATTTTTTGACAATCAGCTGATAGTGGTTTGACTTATGAAACTGTACGATGGATATTATTGCTCTTTCAAACATTAAAGGCATCGTACAGTTCCATAAGTAAAGTAACTCTTCTTCTTATCGTTTTGCCTGGCAGGCTGTAGGTGTGTGTTTGGCAGGCTGTAGGTGTATTTTTGGTTAGTGTATTGGTGTTTTTGGTTTCAGTGTGTTAGTGTATTTTGAATAAATTGTAATAGAAATAAAAGAAATTGTAATAGAAATGAAAGAAATTGTAAAAGACAAGAGCACATGCCAAAAAACAGGTGATCTCAGCTGTAGGCATTTTTTGGCAATCAGCTGATAGTGTTTTTACTTATGAAACTGTACGATGATTAAAGGCCTTATTCATAAAAAAATAAAATAAATTTATACAGCTGTATAATGTGAAATTTTCATACAAGTTTTCGATTTACATATGAAGAAGTTAAAGTCTTCTTTCTCTTTTTTATGAATTTGGGTGTAAATTTGCGTAGCTTCCGCGTCGTTACCCGCGGAAAATTCAACAAATTTTTACCAAAATTTCAACTATTTAATCTGAATCTTTTAAACTTTTTGGGTATGTAGTTTTATAGTCCAAACAATTTTAGCCTAATGAAGTGCAAGTTTCAACCGGCTAAAAATCACGTTGATTTCAAGAATTTTATTGTAGACTGGTTACGGTTAAACTTAGACAATATTTTTATAGGAAAATAACAAAAAAAAAAAATTAGCTCGAAAAACATTATGAATATAATGAATGTACTTATGTATGTATGTAGATCTCTTGATCCCAACCAAGAAACCGGTCTTAACTCGGCAATATAAATGTGGTGATATTGCCTCCATTGAAAATACTTTGGCTGGCCTGAAGTAGAAAGCGTAGTAATAACTCTCCTCGTCGAGAATGGTTGATCTGGATTTTTTTGATATTATGTCCTTGATTTCAGCTTGTGGACTCTCAAAATCATAGGCCATGCAAAAAGGGTAGTATGCTCCGCTGTCCGGCAATCTCCACCTTCACATGGGTTGTGGCTACTGTACTGAATTGAGAACAAAGGAATGCATTTATAGCTTTCTTGATAAGAATGGACTCCCGCGGGCTTCCCACCTCACTCTTGTAGTAGAGTCTTAAAAGTTTGGCGCCATAATTGCCTTGTTGTTGGCGTAGCGCTCTTGGTTTTGGTAAAGGCGCCCAAAGAAATATAAAAATATTATTTAAAGGCATTCTGTGCCCCCATCTACCTTAATAAGCCCTTCTTCAATCACAGATATGTATTTATTCTGCAGTTTAATACACCATACAAAAATTGTTCGCCAAGTTTGATCATCGAAGGTAGCATTGACCTTAGCACCACCTACAGTTAGAAAGTCCAAGGAGAAGTGGCCAGCGAATTTGAAACTCCGCTATCCCAACAGGGACTGCGATGAATCGAACTGGGGGAGGAGATTTGCGGTCTATGGACCTTAAGGGAGTAAAATATGAATCAATACATATAAATCTTTCCAAGTTCCGAAGTTTCAGGCCAAGCTGATGTGAAGCATAAGTAGTAAAATAAATAGTGTAAGGCTCAGCGTACATGGCAAGAGTACCAAAACAATGGACCTAAAGTATTGGGGCACGGTATTCGTCTAATTGAGGTGGAACTAAAGGCAATGCGTGTACATGGAAATTTGTTGGGTGTCAAGCTGTTCCAATTGCAGTACCAGTTTCGGACATAGAGTTTTTGTGCATTGCTACGCTACGCGGATTGACTCGAGTTTTACCCGACTAAGGACTGTTGTTTCGACTATCGACGAACCCTACCGTTTGTCGTTGCTGGTACCACAAATGGCTCCACCCCAACTGCACTTTGGTGGTTATTTTCGCGTGAAAATACCTGCGCTGGCCTTAGAATACATAAGGAGTAGGCTATACGATTTGTGATACCTTGTTGCTCAAACCAATCAGCATCCAAGTATACAGCTGCCTACAAGTTGCTCAAAACGCGGATTCTTCCTAGCGCCCAGGCAGATTTCACGGAGCTCCGCCGATCCCGACCAATGAGTGAGGAAAAATTACTACTTCGCATCCTGTTTCAGATCTCATCAGCCAAGCATCACTACCAGGCAGGTAGGTATGAAACTTCTCTTAACCCTCACACCCCGATTTGCAACCAGCTCCTAAAGGTATACAAAGATACTTCATCTTAAATTCAATGCACTTACCAGAGTAAAATCGACGGGATAGCTGAGATCCAATAGACGAAGTTGCAGCAGAACTCAACTCTGATGGTGGTGGCTCATTGTTTATTACACGCCCCAGATTGAAATGTTTAACGTACACAAGATCCCTGTCACCTCTTGTGTGGCAGGATAACTTCCTGACATAGGTATCCTCCTAAAAATATGGTCCGATAAACAGCACTACGTCGCAAGCTATGCTACCGGTAAGATCAGGTCATTTTGCCATAATCATCCCAATCGTAAAACCTGTGGACCTCAACGACCAGATAACAACACCATTAGACATAGGGACCAAAGGAAAGACATAACTAATTTTTTCTGGATTAAGAAATTCGGTCTCGAATAATTACCGTCGCCCACACGACAGTAACCGTACGACCCAGATTTATAACTGGCCAAGGACTGTCACTCCAGCAAAACTCCCCAAATCTTTTTAGGGAATCTGTGTGCTGTTACAAAAACAACAACAACCATAATCAAGTTGTTGTTGTAGCGGCTACAATAAAAAAACAAAAGCGATGTTTAAGTGCATTTGAAATTCTTTCAAAGTATGCGGTTGCATCTTTCCCAAAACCGAATACAATTCGAATTTGTCACCAACTAAAAATAAACGTCACTGCTGTATAAACTTTGTTTAGTGGGCATTACACCAAATGCGCAATAAATGGCGAAACAAAGCGGAAAATTGGAACAGTGGTGCTAACCTCGTCGACCGAGGGATAAATAAAATGTCTAAATAATTGATTGCGCTATTTTTTTTAATGCTGCTAACAATTAGCCACCATAACTGATAGAAACATGAATTGAATATAGGTTATTTAATTTTAACATGAACATATTGAAGCTTTAGCGTTGCTCTTGTTTTCTTTGCCTTGCTCATAAATGAACTCGATCCCTTTTTAAAAGCGTTAGCAACACTGAAATGGCGGCCATTCGACGAGCTCGGCCAGTGACGACGCCGAATACAGCTTTGCTTTTCAGTCGGAATTTCATCATCGATAAGTCTGCGTGGAAAATGGAGCGGTAATAGCTAAAGGAATAACAACAGCGAAAAACGCAAAGAAAACGGCCTTTTGTCCGCTATTTCAGCGAATTTTTTGTTAAAAGCAAAAATTTACCAAACGACGACTTCTACCACTGCAACTACATCCACTCACTACCACCAAATTCACCAAAAAAAACAACAAAAGTACATCCAAGCAGCAGCAGCAACGCAGACGTGAGCAGAATTTTGTAATGAAAAAATCGAATTGTGAATCAGAATCAACTGCCACAGCGTATACAGCTAAAGCATTAGAAGCAGCAACAACCAATTCAGCTAAATTATCCATATTTAAAATAGAGAAGCAGGAGCTAGAGCTACTGCATTCAAATCAACACCACCGACGAGCAGCAGAGAAAAATCATATTGGCGTAGTAGGGGCGTCAGCTGCAGAGGCACTAGCAGCGCAGTCGAACGAAACATTTGTGACGTCGACCGCGGCAGAGGTCGCAGCAACGGCCAGCGCAACAGCAGTGAAAATTTTCCATAGAGAAATTTTTAATTTGCAAGAATCTTTGGGTTCCTTGCTAAATTCTTACAGTTTTAATGTGGAAGGCATCTCCTACTGCATCCTTTGACTGTTAGCAGTTAACAAAATTTTTGCAGCTTGAACAGCAGTATCATTGAATACACCACAAACTCGAGCAACAGCAGGGGAAAAAAAGCAATAGCACCAAAGTTAGCTACTGCTAACAATTAAAAAATCAATTAAATTACAAACATATTCAGCTATAGAAGAGCCCGGTCGTAAGTTCAAATGAAATTGGACCTCGACTAAACATTCGACAGACTTTGCGGACATATCCATATTCTGAACATCTGCACAAACCACACCATTACTTTAGGCCAGCATAGCTGCAGACCAAAAACACCAACTTGCAAATTCTAATTTTGACATTTTTTAATACTTGCATATCTGCATACATATTTCCGATACCAATTCCTTGTGCAGTATTTAAAGCAAAATACATATTCAATTTGCAAGTCGCTATCTGCTGGAGAAAGCCAGCACTTCAGGAGCATTTTGTATCTAGATGACTCCATCCACCATTTTGAACGAACAGCAACGCATCAGTAGCACCAACAGCTGCAGCGCAGCTAAACCAGAAACAACGCAGCTAAAATTCAACGAATACCCGAAGCCAATAGCAAACGAAGCAGGCAAAGAGGAAGTAGAAGTAGCTGCAGAAGATCGACTGGCATACGGCGCACAGTAATTGGAAAGACGAAGAAAATTGAGAGGGGAAGGTGAAGCAGTAGAATACGGAAAAAGCAAAATAAACATAAAGGCAGCTAACAACGCAGACAGACGATACAGCTAGACCAGACGGAAACTGGTGTTGCAGCCAACAAGTCGGAGCGAGCCGAAGTGGATAGAAAAACAGCCACAGTTTGTGGTATAGACGGCGAGCAATTGGGTAAGCAACAGTGTAAAGACTTGTGCGATAAGGAACGATTCGTGCAGTTGTGTTTTCGTTTGGGTTTTGTACGGGCTTGTTGTTTTGGGACTATTTTGCTGCCAACAGCAACGGCAAATAAAGAACAAGGTGTTACTAAAATACAGCAATCCTAACAAGAAAAGTTCCGGCAGTGCAAAAAGTTGATCCAAAAATCTTTCCGTTCTAAATAAATTACCTGCAACTATTCCTTAAAGTTCTCGAAGATTCTGTGTAGTGTGTGTCCCAACACAGTCGTGTGTATACTTACGTTATTGTTTGTACGTTAACCGCCAAGCCGGTAGTACACATTAGAAACCTAACATTTCATAACGTATTCCAAATTCTATTCAATTCAACTGCAATAGTAAAATACTACAGTTCATTCGCCCGCATAACATAACCACTTTAAAAACACAATATACATACCTACCTAAAAACTCGTCAATTGACAAACGCGAAAACCTATAACCACATTTGATAAAAAAAAGAAACACATCGAAAACCGCAAACGAGCTAATCGGGAGGAGCGAAAAAATGGTTGAACGCATATTGGAGGAAGAGGAGAACGGCAGCAGCAGCAGCAGCAATACCCCAGCTGCTACTGTCGCCGGAGCTGCTACTAATGCAATAACTAGCACCAACATTAATGGCTCAGCTGTTAGTGGCAGCGACAGTGGTGTGGGCGGTGGCGGCACTTTCTCCACGGACACCGATAATAGTAGCAGTCAATCAGGTGAGTTCAATAAACCATGTTTTAATGTGTAGTTTCTAGTTCGAGGCTCAGCTAGGGCGCTATGGAGCATTCATATGTACATGCGTACGTATGTAGATTTAATACGCTAATTGGTGCCAATATGCAGTTTTCGACGAAAGGCAGCTGCCATTTAAGTACATACATATGTAACTTGATTTTATGTAGTACATATTCTTGCGATACAGAACAAGCTTTTATTTAAAATGATATTGAATTTGAAAAAAAAATTTAATTATCATTATTTTTTTGGGTTCTTTTATAATAAACTGCTGAAATTCTAAACCAGGATATCTTGGATTCAAGCAGAAAGTGGGTGGGTGGGTAATGAGAGTTGGTATTTCGTTTAATAATGCGGAGTGGAGCAATTATTTACTTCCTGAGATTGTGCTTAGTGCAGTCAAAATAAAATATTCTGCTGGACTGATTTTTACTGCATTATTTACGTCACACGAGCGTTAAATGGAAAATTTTCACCAGAACTTACATATTTGTCATGCTAATTAAACTGGAACTGACAACCATGTGTCATCATAGCGTAGTAGTTACAAACATGCAAATATTTTGAGACTTCTTAATACACGTGTATTGTACTTGCATACATACACATATAAATGGTTTTTTACATGCACTTTTAAAATCCACATTAAAATTTGTTCTAATTACCTAGCTCAACCACGTTTTTAATTTAAATACCTACTTGAAACGATTTTAAATAGTTTATATGTAGGTATGTAGGTTGTTGATTAAATTTTGTATATAGTTAATGCCTTGAATTTTAAGGTTATCTAAATAGGTATTAACTCCAAGAAGACTCTCGTATAAGCTTGCCACCTATTCGAAATTAATTACAAATTAACTAAAACTTCATAATATGGGTATCAAATTTAAGATATTTTAAAAATCCCCTAATCAGTGATCGCACTTCTACCACATTGTGTTAGATCTGCCACTTCGTTGAGGTCTTCAGGTCTCAAATCTACCACATATTCGCTTTTTTGCGTAGTTTTAAATTTCCTTGACATAATTTTCTTAATTTTAAGAGAAAAAATTGTCCAACACTATACACTATATGGTAACAAGAATAATATATGTAATACAATTTTTCGACAGGAATCGCGGTTCCATTGTGTTAAATTGCAAAATATATGACCTATAACAAAAATTACTAGCGAAAATCTTAAAAAAAGGGCGATTTTTGGTAGAGTATTAGCAAATTTAAGTGCATCTAAGGTTTAAGGCGTTGTATACTTTTACTTGAGAATTGACAAAATCGGCAAAACCCAATTATCTGGAACGTGCCACATTTGCTCGCTACTTCGTGATGTGATAAAAAAAAATCTGGCAGCACTCGGCAAGGTTGCAGAAATCTCTTAAAATATGTTCGAAAAATATTCTAATATGGATGGAAGGGCTTTACACTATCAAGGACAAAAATTGTCCAAAACTCCACGCAATTTTTAGCAACTTCAATCTTGCACTTTATTATACTAACATTAAATTTTTTTAGAGTCTACTTAAAAAGTTTGCCATTTAGGTGAAACCTTGCAGATTTTTTTTTTTAATTTTTGTACAAATCTAAAGCATCGCAATATGGATATTAAATGAAAGGTACCTATTTTAATTTCAATCAGCATTGTTTTTTGTATGTAGACACAGTACATATGTATACCCTCAAGATATGTGCTATAAATTCCAGCGCATTTCTAAATAGGGTTGCCAGCTAAATTTTAAAGTAAAAAATTTGCTTTATAGATTACAAACTCCAAATTTTTTATAATTTTATGTATTTTAAAGCTAACAAAATCACCAGTATTTGATACTCAACCCTTGAAAACTATAAAAAGCAAAGCTCGGTCAACCTGGTACTCATATTTTATGTAGAGAACAAAGAAAATGGTTGGTATGAATAAAGTATGTAAATATTTGCAAACAGCTAAATCTTTTGCAATCTGTTAATTATTCCTAGTTTTTTATTTTGTTTCTTTGCTCGGTTCAAATGATTTTTCACACTCTACTTCGTATATTTTATTGCTAATGCACAAACGTTCGTCTGAATTGGCACAAACAATTTGCAAATTCGCTGTGCGAGTATGTGGAAAAATCCAGTAGGCGAAGAAAAGTGTCACCACGTTGCGTTGGTCGTGTACAAGCACAACATACTTTCTTCCAATCACATACATATGTACATATGTACATACATGTGTACTTATTTTTTGCTCACTCTGAAAATTGGGATAGTTGCGGGCTGCAATTGACAATATTTACTTTTTATTTTATTTTTCATTTCCATTCGGTATGTTCGCTTCTTTTCTTCAATATCGTATGATTTTTTCTTAGTTAGCTGGCAATTTCGCGATAAAAACAGCTGATTTCGCATACCTACACACATACAAACACACCTACGAAACCAGAGTTTTTGCCAAACCCAACCGGAATTGCCAACTGATGAAATACATATTTTGGCAAGAAATTTTACGAGTAGACGTAAAGGCGCAATTATAGAAATGACTCAGCTTTGTTGTCTTTTGACATTTTAAGAAGAGTGACGAAATCGGATCGATGCGCCACCGCATATTCAATGTAAATACATATGTATGTACATACTACATTAATATGCATATATCTGCATTTGTATGTTTGTGCCTTCAAATATATATATACGTGTGCAATAAGTAGGTATTAAATTAAAATCGCTTTATTAATAAATTCGTTTTGACATTGCATCATTCCCAGCACCTTATCTCCTACGTAGTATTTTGAGCTCTTTTGCGCATTAATGCAGCAATAATGATTCGTTTTATGCTTTTTTTTGCAACAAATCGATAAATGTATATACATATTTAGTTGTACATTTGTAGGCGCCTGCTGCATTGAAACGCAATTTAATAATAAAACAATAAAAAATAAAACATAAGCAAATTGCAAATACCAAGTAATAGATAATCGCATAAAAAGATAGTATGTAAAGAAAATGCAGCACCTGTCGACGTCGTCTTCGCAGCAGCAGCTTAGCAGTTCACTGCAGCGATCGCAGTAGCAGAATTTGCAATTCATCGCCGTGCATCGCAGCTTGAGCTCTCAAGTAGCGGCTGGCTAACCTTGATGACGTTTATTGCACTCGTGTGCATTTTCGCTGCAGTCAAAATAGAACACAAACAAGCATACGCACACAAACGACTGCAAATGCAAGCGAATGAAAAAAGGAAAGAAAAAAAAAAAAAAAACTACTCGTTGATTCGTTCATTGTCGCTGGCTGGTTCGTTGGTGGCTGGCTGGGCTGGCTTGTTGTGCACAAACTAGTTGTGATGTTTTATGGATACCAACCAAGTGGTTTGCCACTTTTTGTAGGTAATGAGGAGGGCTATGATGTTGTGTTTTTGCAACAATTCGATAAGTGAAGCAGTAAAGCGAATAAAGAAATGATATTAAACAAAAAAATACAAGAAAATTGCAAACAAACGATTTAACATACATTGAATATGTACCTATGTATGTATATATGTAGGTAAATGATAAAAAACGACACTACCGAAAATGTCGACTCATTGTGCTTGCATGCACCGTGTAAGGACTTTGCAAGACTGCGAGAATACCCGTAGTGTTAACTTTGAATGTGCACACGTATGCATGTATGTATGTATGTACATATTTGTATGCTCATATGTAGGTTGATTTAAGCGCAGCTACCCAGTGGGAAAAGGTAATGTTAGGGAATGTAAAAAGTAAAGATAGCCCCTATAACCTATGGACGAACAGACATTTTGCTTTACAAAAGTATAATTAGAATTTACCTATAAATAAAAAAATTAAAAATTAAAAACTTCCGTGCCATAGGGTTTCAACCCGTGATTAACAGCACGGCAGTGGAACCGCAACAACAACAACACACATCCATTCGGCTACAGCAGCTGTTGAGTTAACGTGGAAAAAAGCGTTCCCACGACAGTCGGGTCTACGGAACCGGAAGGATTGTCGCTCCAGCAACACTCCCCACAAACTCTTTGGGGAACTTGTATGCTACTACAACCACAACAACATTACGTGAAAAAAAACGTAGTTGAGTTAGTTCTCTAACTTTTTGTTTTGTTTGTGGCTTCAAAAATATCTACACATCATCTGCTCGCGTTCATTGCGATGCATCTTCGTTCAACCGTAGTTGCTAATCTTTTCTTGGTAGAAAAAGGTAGCACATTCCCATTTTCCCACTGGGTATAGTTTTATGTACATTGTGCTCATATCGCCTATATCTACTGGTACATCGGACGAGTGGGTGGGCGGTTGTTAGATTGGTCTACTGACTATCTCGCACAGATAATTGCAATAACTGGACCACTACGTATGGTTACGGTCCATTGATGATAGGTGACCTGTGTGCTGAGGGTCGCTGCTTGAATTTCTCGTTTGCATTGATCAAGTGGCTTCATATTGAATGTTGGTGGTGGCGTTGTTTGATTGAAAGGTTGTGCTTGTAATTAAGTGTGCATTAACTGATTTTCAATGTATTTAGGTACATTAGGGTGGTCCTTAAAAAATCAAATGCATGATTTTTTTTCCAGTCTCACTCCCTCAATCGGTAATACCACGGTCACAGATATCACATATAAATTTTGGCCCGGATTGGAGTCGTTTAAAACGTCTTCATAGATTAATCTGAAGTTTGAACCCTGTGCGACACGCCTTAACCGACTTCAATCGGAACTATAAATGAAAATTTTCAAAAGTACCTACGATTAGTCAGCTTTAATAGCCTATCTCTCAAATTTGATGGTTGTTGGCACTACTGCAGCTACATACAACCTACAAGCTACATATCGTCACCTGAAATGCAAAA